CTCCAAGAAGGCGGCCTCGCGACGCATCGCGTTGGGAGAGGTCAGTGTTAGGCTGACGCCGACGGCTGCTGACGGGGCGCATCAATAACTTAAAACGCCCGCCTGCTGCGGCCCGCCGCTAAGGAGTGCGAGAGAGAGGAGGAACCATCAAGATGTTTTTCCTGGCATAGCCGATAGGAGTACACATACAACTCCGCGGATCCACTGCCGATTCAATATTTTGTGGACATTTATGCCACTGTTTGGCTTCCTATACAGGATTCGAAAAAAAAATCATACCAATCGCAAACACCAGTTTTACTGTAGTGTAGGATAGCAATTCGTTATCTCTTCTACGGCCAATCCCGGGCCATGTTGCCCGAGCGGTTCTATTTTTCCGGTCATAGCTGAGAGGGGCGCTCACGCCAGGGGCAGGACACAAGGCCACACCCAGGTGGTGAAAACAAATCAAATTGCTGGGAGGGGAGGGGGGAGGTGGGGCGAAGGTGTCAGTGACCACACCTTGTGACCACACCGCCGCTCGAGGGCGAGCCGACGCACTCGAGCGCACTCGGACGTCGCCCCCTCCCGTCAAGGCCACCGCCCGCCCGACCTACCCTCCGGTGCGCGGTGCGCCTCTGCCACACAGGAACACACGGTGCAGTTCGAGAGGAATGGAGATGGAGAGTGTGAGGTGTGAGGCGTGCTGCGGCAAGTCAAGCACTAGTAAACTTAACGCGGATCTCACGTGTCGAGGCGCAACAAGACAAGACTGTCACTGTCTCGAGCAGGCCACGCGCTGCCACGCCTCCGCGTCGCTCTTCCCACGGGCCGGCGTTGGGGATCATCGATCATCCAGACCAGAAAGTACAGCCGCAAATCGTCTTTGCCAGCCTTACCGAGTTTAGCCTACGGAAGCCCTCAAAACGCCTGCTAGGTAGGCATCATCTTGTTCGCAGTGCATGCGTGTACCGCGGGGCGGCCTACACTGAGTCTTGCAGGCGCCAAGCTTCCGAATGGATCTGAGGAAAACGGTCGTACACGTACACACGAAAAGCCTGGAACATTTTTATTCATAGCTTAATGAGTTCTGTGAACGTGCTCTGCTTGCGCATTTTTTAATACGCCAGTATGAACAAAAACACCCGTAAGGGGCCAGGGACCCTGCGGCCATATTGAGTATGCAATCCTGCAACACTGCTGCGTATTCACAGTTACAACCGGTAAACATAACTCAGTAAGCTAGTCCTATGAATAAAAATGTTCATAAGCTTTTAATGTGTACTTTCTGGACGATCCCTTAGGCAGGGCGGCGCACCAGACGGTGGGGCGGCTCGGCTCGGTGTGGACTGCTGTAGCTACGTGGGCTGCAGAGCTCGGACTCTTGGCGCTCGCCGCCTGCCTGCACCGCCTGTATCACAGGGGCCGCCTGTGATAAGGAGAGTGAGCGCTGCTGAGCGGCTCCGGGGCTCGACCGGCCCATGCGCCGAGCGTAGCTTATGGTAGCAACATGGAAGCATCGTGCTACGTTCGGCACATGGGCCGGCCGAGGGCCGAGGACCGGAAGCAGCTCGGCAGCGCTCACTCTCCCTATCACAAGCAGCCCCTGTGATACAGGATACAGGCGGTGCAGGCAGGCGGCGAGCATCAAAAGTTCGAACTCTGGTGGGCTGCACGAAAAAGTGAGTGGAGAGCTTCATGGACTGGTCGAGGGGACTGACTGTCTGTTGAACGGTTGTAGACGGCTGCCGCCTGCGGATCGTCCGCCCCGCCGTCCAGCCGAGTCCAAGAGGCCCCCTGTAAAAAAACTCGTAAAAAAATACTCGCAAGATACTCGCGCATACTCGCGTTAACTCGCGAAAAAATCGCGCCAACTCACTAAAATATCGAGAGATACTCACCAATTACTCGCGAATACTCTCCAATAATCGCGAATAATCGTGAGTACTCGCCTAACTCATTGGGGGACCCCTCACATCAAGCGGGGGGGTGGGGGTGGGGGCTGGTGCTTGTGCTTGGCGACACCGCCCCGGCCTGACCTGCCGCGGCCTTGGCGACCCCTTATATACCGCTTACTACATAATCTGAGCCTAACTCT